GGGGGGGGGGGGGGGGGGGAGATATCAGCAATTTATCCTGAATTCACACCATAAAAATCACAAGCAATGCCACTCGAATTCCAGCATTCACGAAGGCTCTACCATTAACAGACATAAGAGGTGGCTTTGCATTACGTCAGGGAGACGGACCTGTCTGAGTATGGCCTTGGCTCCCCTGAACTAGGGACCCTGAGGAACCCTTAGAAGCTCCCACCACCAGCTCCCACTAGGGTCACTCTGCCAGTCTCACGTGGGCTGAGGAGCCCACCTAGGCCGGTCCTTCAGAAGACCAGACAGCAGGGAGGTTAATGGTTGGTGGGGGGGGGCTTCTGCAGGACACCCCTCTCCATCTGAAGGGGCCTCTCACTAAGCCTCCAGCCAACCAAATTACAGAGTGGGGGGCCCAAAACCAAATTAGGAACTAGCTATATTGATTTCTGGGGCCTGGGACTAAATGAAAATATGACATTTGTGCTCAAAAGTGAGGAATTTCAAGAGGTGATGTAACCCTTCAGCCTAACATGGCGGGGCCGTTGTAGGGTCCCACCAGCCCATCCTCCGCAACAATTAGGGGGTCTTGCGGCTGTAACCTCTTCTCCTCTGCTCCAGGGCTGAGCCACTCTCAAGACACATAGCCGAGCCCCAGACTCACAACATTACTGGAAAGCCCACTGGTTCAGGTGTGCAGGGCCCCCAATGGAGACCTGGGAGGCAGGACCTGGGCCCCTCCTAAGTTGCATCCCTCTCCCATCATTGAGCGATGGGTGGGTGGCCTAGACTGTCCAGTGTGGCACCAATGTTGGAACAGGGCTTTACTTCTAGCATCATGCTGGGACCCCAGGCTGAGGGCTCAGGGATAAGGGACTATGGTCCAAAGCCGGGCATTCCTGGAGGGGCTTTTTGGTCCAGTTACACACATATAATCTGGACTCAGCCATGGCAGGAGGAGGACTGGTAGGCTCTTGTGGTACAATGGGGCAGCCTCAAGGTTTAGAACTGAATTACAGCCAGCAGTCATCCTCTGGGGAAGGTGAGTGTAAGGAGTCACAGTGGTCCTCGCCCCGGCCTGGGAGCCCCACCCTCTCTGTTCATGGTGGAAGGAGCCAGCCTGCTAGATGCACACCCTCCTTGAGCCCTGGGCAGGTAGGGTGCAGAGGCTGGAGCAGCTGCGAGGCTGGGCGAGTCTGGGCAGGCAGTGATTCAGCGTGGAGGAATGTTCAGGCTCTCCCTGCCCCTACCTGCCCCCACCTCGCCTTCATCCCCAGGCGCTGCTGGCCTGGTGCCCGTGCCAGCAAAGCTCCCTCAGCCTAAGCTTGCTTGAGTGCGTACCCACCTGCTGGCAGCCCCATGCCCTATACCCCCAGTTCCCTCCCACACAACCTTATGGTCCAAGATGTTCTTGGGCCTGGGGCCACAGTGAACAGATCTACCTGTCAGACCACAGTGAGCCTTTGGCATTCAGGGTGTATAATGGGTCCCCCAAGGAGCTGAGACAACCACCTCAGAAATGAGACAAATGCCCTGGGTCCAAGACAGAGGGGTAGAGGCAGGGGACTTCCTGTAATGGAGGGTTCGGGCCTCAGGAAACAAGGGCTAGCAAGAGTAAATAGGTGACTGCCCCGATCTGGCCTGCTCTGCAGGGGTTGGAGGCTGGGGGAGATGGCAAGAGGTCAGGCTTGTAGCAACTAAGCCACTGTTTGGTCAAGGCCAGAGTCTCCCTCTGCCTGGCTTCCTACCCAGCACCCTCACCCCTAGGCACCCTAGCTTGCTTCCTTGCCCAGACAGACCCTGTACTGGCTGTTGCCAGATGATCAAGCAGCCCACAAGTGCCAAAGGGTCACCCCTCAAGTCACCTGTCTTCCACAGCTATCGCCTCCAAACCAGGAGGACAGGAAGATGGGGCCAGCCCCAGACCCTGGCAGCACCTCAGCCCCAACTGGCACCACTTCTGAGTCTGGCCTTATTCCAGACATCATTGCTAGGATCCCCTGTGAGTGATGGGAACCCCGAGTGGTGTGGTCGGATGGGCCAGTCTGCCAGGGACACAGGCTGTCCAGACAGACAATTCAGCTGCCCACGCCTCTGGTCCAGGGCCCCGATGGGCGCTCGTTGCTGTTGCTGTAGTGGCCGGCATCCTCCTGGTCTCCTGTCTGCTCTGCATGGCCTGCTGCTGTTGTCGCCACCGTCACCAACGCCGCAGGAAGCAGCCCAAAGACAAGGAGGTGGTGGACCTGGGCAGCGCCCCTAGCAGCACCACCGCTCACCAGGTGAGGGGCAGCCAGCACCGCCCTGCGCCCAGTCCCATGCCGCTCACTCCAGATGGATGCTGGTCCAAGGGTCGTCAGGAGCTCCAGCAGTGGCACGACACACGCCCCGGAGGGGGGGGGGTGGATCTGGCTGGTCTCGGGGAGCTGCACTGAGGACATGAGCCCTTTTAGTGGGCTGGCCGGAGGTGGTGACTTGATCTACATCACAGAACCGTCCCCTGGCAGATCAGGGCTCTGCTAGGGGCTTGATCTCAGCCGTACAGGTCTGACCTGTCCTGACCCACCCCAGGTGCAGCCAGCTGTGGACAGCCTGGAGTCCTGTTCTGGGGGATCCCGGCAGTGGGGACGCCTGCTGCTGTCACTGGGCTACGACTGTGGAAGCCAGGAGGTAAGACCCACTCGGCAGGCCCAGAGGCTCCACAACTGATGGAGAGTGTGATGGATGAAGCACCAAGTGGAGGGGAACATGGAAAGAACACTTTGGGCTGAGCCCACCCCCTGGTCCCCAGATCAAGGTGGGCCTGAGGCAGGCCGTAGACCTGAAAGCCGAGGGCACGGCCGACCCCTATGCCTGCGTCAGCATCTCCTACCAGGCCGGGCAAAGGCATGAGACAAAGGTGCACCGTGGGACGCTCAGTCCTGTGTTTGAGGAGACTTGCTGCTTCCCCGTGAGTCTGGGCTGGGCAGGTGGGGTGGGCCAGGGCCAGGGCCAGGGCCAGGGCAGCAGGGACCCATTCACAGCCCTGCCCACAGATCCCGCAGGCGGAACTACCCAAAGCCACCCTGCAGGTGCGACTACTGGACTTCAAGCGCTTCTCAGAGCACGAGCCTCTGGGGGAGCTGCAGCTACCGCTGGGCACCATGGATCCTCAGCACGTCCTGGAGAGCTGGTACCAGCTGGGTCCGCCAGCTACTGCTGAGGTAAGGCAGGCTGGCAGGGGCCCGGGCTCTGTCTGTGTCACGGGGGAGGCCGAGGCCTGAGGGTTGCACCTGCGGGGTCCCAACTCCCCCATGGAAGGATGATCCTCCCAGTCGCAGCCGTGTCTCCCTGCCCCAGCCCGAGACAGCTGGGGAGCTGTGCTTTTCCCTGCGGTACGTGCCCAGCTCGGGTCGCCTGACTGTGGTGGTGCTAGAGGCCCGGGGCCTGAGCCCGGGGCTGGCAGGTGAGAGCCACACTTGTCCACTTGAGTGGAGATAGGGCTGCGGCCCTGTGCTCCGCCCTCCCGTCTGGGTTTATGTGATGCCCTTTTGAATCTGGTCATCTGTGCAGAGCCTTATGTGAAAGTCCAACTCATGCGGAACCAGAGAAAGTGGAAGAAAAGAAAAACATCCTCGAAGAAGGGCGCATCTGCCCCCTACTTCAACGAGGCCTTCACCTTCCTGGTTCCCTTCGGTCAGCTCCAGGTGGGCAGCTGAGGGGAAGGGCAGAGTGGAGCCAGGACCTTGCACCCGGCCAAACTGATCACTTTTTTTTCCCTCTTTCCATCTGCAGAGTGTGGACCTAGTGTTGGCTGTCTGGGTCCGTGGTCTGCGGCTACAGGCTGAGCCCGTGGGCAAGGTGCTGCTGGGTCCTCGGGCTTCAGGCCAGCCCCTGCAGCACTGGGCAGACATGCTAGCCCATGCCCGACGACCCATCGCCCAGTGGCACCGCCTACGACCCCCCAGGGAAGTGGACCGTGCCCTGGCCCTTCAGCCCCGCCTGTGCCTGCCCAGGCCTCACTCTTGAAAGCGCTCTGGATCTCCGTTTTTCCAAAGCTGTGGGCACTTGCCCAGGCCGTTCACGAACTCTGTAATAAATGCCTTCTCTTCCCCCCATACACATGTCCTGATGGAGCTCTGTGAGGCGGGACTAAGAGCTGAGACAGGCTACACCTCGTCTCCATGGGGCTGGGTGCCCTTGACAGATTCACCAGCTCTGAGCCTCTGCTCAAGGCCTGACTCCCGAGGTCCTCCCCTAGGGACATGAACACCTTCCTCTTGCAGAGAAGCAGGCGGCTGGGGCTGGTCCTGTGGGGACACAGTGAGACTCCTAGCGGGGCATTGTGGGTTAGGGACAGTGGAAGAAACCCCCAACACCATGAGGGACAGTGGTACAGAGTGTCCCCTGGGCAATCAGCAGGGGGCAGTAGATGTCTTTGGAAACTATGCTGGGGCCCTTGGGGGCCTAGCCCTGGCCTAGTATGTACCTCTTAATCCCCACACATCTGGCCGGCTTTAGCAGCTCCAACCCTCCTCTGATCCCCAGGGGCCTCAGAGTGGCAGGGCTGGGGCGAAGCTGTGATCTGGGTGCTTTTCGGCAGGGTGGGGCTCGGGTGGAAGAGGGGCGAGGACCCTGGCCTGGGTGAGCAGGACAATGTAGGGCCTGCCTGGGCAACCAGGGGCCCTGAACCCCCACAGGTCAGAGAGAGGTTCCCAGGGTGGTGGCATCTTTCTCTGGGGTTGAAGGACGTGTTCCAAGTTGCCTGTGCAGAGGCGCCCATGGGCAGGGCATGTGGCAGGCTGGAAGGGGCCCAGCTGCTGGGCCAGGGGCCCATCTGCTCCTCTCCCTACAGAAGGGCAGGTTCATGTGGAGGGGTAGGTACCCCTCTTCTGGCCTCCCACCACCGCAGGAAACCCAGAAGACTGACTGTTTTGGGGGTTTAATTTTGTAGTAGGGCTGACATGGGGAACAGTCATCCCAGAAGCCAGCAGTGAGTACCCAGCAGCCTGACGGGTACTTAACTGCAAGGGGTGAGGGGCTTAAGTTTGACAATGACTCTGGGTCAGCCAGCTGGTGGAAGGGCCAGGTTCTCCTTAGAGGGTGACAGTGGTGGTGGTGGATGATTGAGCAGGTGGCCTCGGAGCCCCACACAGCAGGCTTCTCTCACCATCCTGGGCTCCTTGCAGAAACAAGAGTGTTGTCTTGAACTGGTCACCGAGACATAAATAGAGCAAACCAACCACACAGCCG